TTTTTATTTCTTAGCATTTCAAAAGGAACTTGTCAGGTTTTTATTGTTTGTTTTTCTCAAATGGCAAAATGTAAGCTTGACATAATTGGAAAATAATTATAGAGTGAAAGAAGAAATACATTTAAGAATTGGAATAGAAATTTGGGGAATTCCAATATAGTTTCCTTAAAATATCTAAATTATTAATAAGATTTTAGTAAGGAATTTTGAAAGAATGGGAGACTATTCATATAGGTGCTTTCAGAAGACAAAATACTCAGCAATTATCTCAACCTATATAAAAACTGTGCAGAATCTTATAAAATTAGGAGCATAGCTAGAGGCATATATCTTCCCTAGAAAATTTCATTTGATAAGCAATTTTATTTTGTTTTTATTATCATAATTTTTGCCCTAAATTTTCCTTTCAGGTAATTAAAATCATTTTCCTAAGATAATAAGTTGAATACTTGCTTAATTTATTTTCAACATTTCTAATCACAGCAAAAATATTTTTTAAACTGTTAAATTGGGTTTGATTACTGCTCTGGCCTCATTCCGTAGAATTTCAATTTATACATAGGTTAAATCCGTATCATTTAGGAAACATTCTATTACTGTTTTCTTGATTTAGTCTTGCTTAATCTTTCTTGATTTCTTGGCCCAGCTGTTACTTTAGAGAATATTTTTTTTTATTACAAACACATCAGCTTTCTTTACTTCAATTTACTTTTTTCTAGTTTTCTTGAACAGCAGTCTGAAAATATATTCTTCAAATTTTCTGCATTTTGAATTTACGTGAGTTTTCTTTGTTTTCTGTTAGGCAGGCAATTTTGATTTGTAAACAGTGTGCTCTTAAAAATGCATACTCCTTGTTTATGGTCTATAATTTTTGGTAAATAGTAAATATTTCCAATTATTGATTATTCATTTTCTCTTTGTTCTTGCTTTATTTTGAATTTGACGCAAATAGTAATGAGCTAAAATCCACACAGTCTGTGAAGGAGAACTATTATGGTTCAAATTATAGGTCTGCGGTTTATGAGGGACCTTGGTCAGATTACCTAGCCTTTCTGTGCCTCAGTCTCATTATCTGAAAAATGGGGATAATAACAGTATTTGCCATATAGGGTTTACGTGAGGATTAAATATTTAAGAGATGCACTTAAAATATGCGCATCAAATCAGAACTATACAAACGTTAGCTATTGCTACTATATTTGCTTTAGATTCCACTTGAAACTTACATTCATTTTTTTCTGGTTTTCCCTATTCCATCTTTTATTTTTAATTTTTCTGCTTCAGTGTTACGTCATAGTAATACAAATTACTGTATCTTATTCTTCATTTGTGTACATACAATATACTGTTTTGTGTGCATGATTTATACATCATCATTCATAGGAATAATTGCTGTGCTAGTCCTATCATCTGTCATTCTGTATTTGCTTTATTTTAAATTTACGCTTTTGGGGGAGGTCCGTTATCTACCATTGCATTTGTTGTAGAGACTTTTTAAAAAGTTTTGTAACATTGGAATTTGTATCATGCTATTTTTGAAGACATGTTTAAAAGATCGAATGAAATCATCCAAGAAAACTATGTCCAAGTTCATCATTGATTTTGTCTCACAAACTCAGTAACTTTGATCCCTTTTGTGATGGAGGAGGTATTTCACAATTTTTCGCTTTCCCTGCTTGCTCCCTCTGACCCCGGCTTGCTAAGTCTAATCCAAGGACCCATTTTAGTTGGGGTGGAAGAGGGAGAGGAACTGAGCCCAGCTTTTGTTCTAACAAGTAACTAAAATTCCTCTCTTTTCTTAGTCTTATAATTTCTCCTTGTTCCATTATTATCTACTTTCTCAGCTCCATATTTTTCTTTCTGTTTACTTAAATTTCTGCAGAAAGAAAAAAATAGTACTTAAAAAAAAAAAAAAAACCCAGCAGCTGTTTTTGCATTATAGGGCAAGATGGAAGCTGCTGTTTTGTTTACGAAAACACTTATGCCAAAGCAAGGCCTCTTCTGGAAGGAAAGTGGGAATTTAGACTAACTGAATTGCTCTACTAATTAATAGGAAAACGATCTTATTTGTGGGCTGGGTGGTATCTTCACAAAGACATTATGACTTTGAGCTGGAGGAGGTAGAAGGATTGATGGCTCTGGGATTGGGGGACGTGGGAGGGACATGGAGATAGGTAACATGAAAGAAAAGAAAATGCTTATGGGCGCATGAACCTGAAAAGCTTGGGGACAAGGTTGAGAAACCTTTGTGAAAGGGCATGATGACAGCCCTTAGGAGCAGTGATTTCTGATGTTCAATTTAAAGTTGCCTTGTCTTTGTTGAAGTCCCTTAGAAGATTCAGTCACGGCCCTTACCTACTATGGTCTGGTGTTCGCTGAGACCTGGGGGAAGGCAGGAGCTATCTTGATGTGAGGCTGACCCACAGCTGCACAAAGTAATATAGAGATGGGCAGATATATCAGAGAAGACCCAAGCAGAGTCTGGAGCAAGAGGGAAGACGTAGTGTACTCTGCACGTGTACCCCCAGGCCTTACAAATGCCGTGGAAAATGGGACTGGATTTCTTACAGTCTGCCATAATGGAAGCTGAATGTCATAAGAAATTGTGACCATGGAGAACAGAAAAAAATTGAAAAACTGTGGTTACATTTAAGATGATAATTTTTTCCTAGGTCATACTGAAGTCCTTAACAGGGCTCCAATTTGAGAGTTTTCTTTAAAAAGCAACTCTAAAAATTGTGGAAAACACCCTCTTACTACAATAATGGTTTTTAACATTTTGGAGTCAGAGATCTCTTTGAGAAAAATGATAAAACATTGGATCCTTTCACCAGAAAAAGGCACCTACACTCATACACACAAAATTTTGTCTAAAATTTAACCCTTGTTAAAAAACCAAGAAACTTAGACCATTATTTCCTTCTCCTTAACATTTAACAATTTTACATGGTAATTTGTTTCCATTTTTTACTTTTTTCATATCACAATGAGCACCTTCAATTTCTGGTCTCATTTTGTTTTTAAGTTGCATTTTCCCCCAATCACACCCTCCATGCTTGATTCTTTTATTTACTGTTTCCAGGAGCTTCTATTATATCTATTAATCTGTCTTCTTGTATGTCATCTTCTTTAACAAAAATTCTTTAATAGTAGAATATAATTAGTGGAATTAAATTAATAATTTAATTCTTACTAAATGTATAAAATATATATAAATTTTATATATATATACAATTATTTACTAACAATAGTAGAATAAAAAATTCTTTAATAGTAGAATATAATCTATTCATATATGCTGAAGAATGGTTAATAAGTCTTTTATAAAATATTCATGGGTTTCTTGCAAATAAAGTGACCATAAATTTGTCATCCGTACAAATTGGACCTCTATCTTCCAGAACTGTGAGGAAATAAATTTCTGTTCTTTAAGCCATGTAGTCTGTGGTATTTCATTATGATAACCCTAGTAAACTAATACACTCGTCCTCTCTGAATTTTTTTCACAATTTTTAAAGTATATATTTTATTTTTTTGTGGAGATCACAAAGTGGTGAATCACCAGGCACACCAGTCCCTTATTTGTTTGGCCTACACGGTGCTTTAAGAAAATTAAATTAGTTGCCAAGTATTAACTGAAACATCTGGATTTCTGTCTCCCTTTTAAATCTCAGAAAAGCTCTCAATGTTTGGGCTCTATTCTCCATGGGAATAATGTCTCTTTGTGATACAAATGAATGAATTCATTTATTTATTTTACTCATTTATGATAAATATTTTATTGTGATAAAATGCACATAATATGTGTGGATTCTCTTGGCATTTGAGTTTAAACCTTTTCTCTGCGTTATTTGTATTGTCTCATTGGGTAACATTATTAACATTTTTTTCCATTTTTGGACCATATTTCTTCACAATTGGTTAATCGTTGGAGAGCTGGTTAGAGGAAAGGCTGATTTCATGTCCCCTTTTAGATACGTAATTGCTGAGTTTTGAACTTGGATGTGGTCCTTGGGCAGACCCAACAGCGCTGTGATCAAATCCTGTTCTGAACAAATTCTGTAGCTCACTCAGAAGATGGAAGTTCAGCTATTTGGGCTTGTTTCTTCCTCTTGATTCAGTTTCAGCTCTACCACAGAGGAAGCACTCAACCTAACCAGGGTCTCTTTCACCTTCTGGGTCTTGTGGCCAAAGGATGGAACTGTCTCTGAGATGTAGGACATGTTCCTTTCCTCTTTCCAGTGTTCAAGGCTGCTAACATTCTGCCTCTTTCTTACATCTTAGCGATGAGGGTTTTAGGAAGATGACCTTCCTCAGACTGAAGGTTATTCTGTCTCTTAGCCCTGTCCTAGGTTGGAAGGGTGCCACGGGAAACACTTCACTAGCAATAAGAACGGGACTAGCACCCTTTCCCTGTGACCTGTCACTTCATCAATACAGGGAGAGTCCCTATGATAGGAATCCTGCATCCTCCTCTGCTAGATGCTAAAGGAGTAACCAAAAATACCAGACATAAGCTTGCCTTCAGGAAGTTTCCAATCTAGGTTGTATAGTGACTTTGAATAGGTAATAACTGAGTATTTGTGAAGGCAGAGTATTGAGATAATTATAAAAAGAACCCTCCCTCCCTACATGATCCAAGTAGAGATCCATTTCTATTCCATCTTCTCATACTTGCCCCCAACCCCAAATGGCACCAAAGCTAAAGTTGTATTGGAAAACTCTCCACTCCCTCAATATTTTGCTTACATTCTTTATATAAGTCCTAGACAGTATTGCATAGTGTTCAGATAAACTGGATTTGGAAGATCTGGCTTTTTATTTCAGGTGAATCATTATCTCTTTGTTATCTCTCTTAGTTTTATTATGTGCATGTGTTAATATCTGTATCTCCAGGTGTATAAGGTAGTTCTCAGTATTAAATTTGATATACTTTCAATTCACTTAAGTCAGTACCTGTCACCAAGTAAATGCTCCACAAATAGTAGCTGTTGCTAATAGAAAACTAGGAATGAAAATAGAAGGGGAAATGCCTGCAATCTCTTCTTCATGGAGGGAAAAAATGATATTATGTTAAAAATTAGTTTCCAAACAAAAATTCCAAAATTACCCCTTTTTAAATGTAAAGAAAATAAATCTCTTGCTCTGTCTGATACAGGGAATGTGGTTGGTATTTACACTGAGAAAAACAGGAGGTGGCCTTCCAAGTATGTTTCACCTGTATTCTTCTCGACAGGCCTTTGTTCAGCTTGTTAGCAAACTGAGTAATTGATTCTGAATGAGTGGAAACATTCTATAAATTTAGATTAGTTCAAATGGACATTGTATGCAAATGCTATTTTATAAAGAAATTGAAATCTCTAATATCAAACCATAAAACTCATTGTATTTGCAGTTACTCAGAATTACTTCCACCTCAACCTAATATTGTAACTTTTGGGGTTTGTTCTCTTGGCAAACTTTCTTTGATGCCAATTAACTCTTAGTTATGAAGGGCCTGTCTGAATAATAGAATTTTCTGGAAAGAGATTTTAAACCATCAGGTCAAGTTTCTCATCCCTAAGGAGATGGTTCACTTCTTAATTGCCTTCTAATATATTCTTATTAGGCAGCTGGAGAGCAACTCCCTGTCCCTTAGGACTCTTGATGCTATGTCGTCTGTAACCATTAAGTCCATGCCCTCGAGGCTGGCCTTCAATGTTCATATTTCATATTAATTCAACAAACATTTCCTGAACACCTACTTACATTCCAAGCATGGTACCAGATACTAAGGATACAGATATAAGATTCACATACATTCTAACTCTCAAAGAGTTTCACAGCCTTATTAGCTATGATTAGGCTATTATTAGCCCTTATTAGGGCTATGATTCTAGCTAAGTAATACTTGTATCTCCTCTCTAGAAATTTATAATTTGACTGGGTAGTAAGGCATTGCAAGTTATCTAACAATGCAAGGTCATAACAGTTTAACTACCAAATAGTTTCAAGGTTATTAAAAGCTAAAAGAATTTCGGAGAAAGAGAAAGCAGGTGATTGAATATTTAGGAGACCAGGAGAATTTTTGAAATCATTCAACCATTAAGTTGAAGGACTATTTTAGCCTGAAGTAAATTAATTTTGTCATTAAAAAAAAAATGTGTCCAAGTGTCCTGGGAACATAGTGTTCCACATTATTGGAGTCATTGTATTTTATGTGCAATAAATACTAAAGGTGTAAAGATGCAATAACCAACCCTTTTCTCTGCTTATGTGGGAAGACATATCAGAGAGAGTTTGAAACAATCTAAATTCTTTGCTGTGGACAACACACAGCCTCTTTTTAAGGTGAGAGCTGTCATTGATACTTTGCCAGGTAACTTCTTGACTTGTTGCAATCATTCCCAGGGGTTGAATTGAACCTTGTACACCTACCTAGTGAAGAGTAATTTCCACGCTTCAGGTCGGATTTAGGTCCATGAGCCCTAGGCTGGGCTTAACTTGACAGAACAAAAGCTTTTCTTTTCTTCCCCAAATACACTCAAAACCACCCCCCCTCAGTGGGGATTCTCAACCATGCACGTGTTTCCAGTCGTCTGAGGAGCTTGGTAAAAGTGCAGCTTCCTAAGGGTTCTGCCTGGGCAGGTCCAGGAACCACCACTTTTAATGCCCACATGAATCTGATGCGCGTGGTCCACAGAAACACCACCAATCTTCAAGGAGGAATGCCTACGAGAACAGGTCAAAAGAAAGGAATAACTCAGCTTGAAGGAGGGACAGCTGGGACCAATGTGGTGAATGTCTTTAAGCATTTAAAAGGCCCATACAGAAGTGTTTCCAAGATGAGCAAATCAAGTGCCAGGGGGTTCTCTCTTCGCCTATTCTTGGTTCTTGTAGTGACCTTGGTACTAAGCAGCAGGAGGAAGGATGCAGTGCCCGTTTGGCTGTGGTGAGCTTTGGCACTTTGAATCCCCTTCCATTTTGGTTTTCCTAACATTCCGCCCCACACAAATCCTTTCTATTGGGATTCTCATGCCCGCTGCTTATTATTTGCTTTGCTCCCTTTTCAGCAGGACAAACCTAACAGAACCTATCTTATTAACGATAAGTACCAAAGTATTACATTGACTCCTTAATACGAAAATCTGTACCACATTTCTTTAGAATCTTTTAAGAATCAATACTCTTTTGGTCTGTAGTTCTTCCTGAAGAAAGGGGAAAAAAAGAAAATTATTACCAAAATCTTTTTTGAGACCTACAGATTTAGGAAGATGTAAAACGAGTTTACCAAATAGTAAACTCCACAGGAGCAGAAGATTTTTTTCAGTGCTTTTTTACTGTGGTAAAATACACACAACATAAATTTTACTGTCTTCACCATTTTGAAGTGTACGGTTCAATGGTATTACATACATTCACATTGTTGTGCGACTGTCACCTCCATCCATCTCCAGAACTCTTTTCATCTTGCGAAACTGAAACTCTGTTCCCGTTAAACAATAATTCCCCATTCTCCCCTTCTCCCAGCTGCTGACAATCATCATTCTACTTTCTGCCTCTGTGAATTTGACTACTCTAGGGGCCTCATATGAATGGAATCATACAATGTTTGTCTTTTGGTGGCTGGTTTATTTCATATAGCATAATGTTCTTAAGGTTCATCCATTTTGTAGCATGTGTCAGGATTTCCCTCCTTTATGAGGCTGAATGATATTCCATCGTATGTATATACAACACTTTGCTTATCCATTCATCTGCCAGTGTGTATTTGGGTTCATGGGCAGGAATTTGTGTGTGTGTGTGTGCACGTGCGTGTGGAAGATTGGCCTTGAACTAACATCTGTTTCCAATCTTCCTCTATTTTATGTGGGATGCCGCCCCAGTGTGGTTTGATGAGTGGTGCTAGGTCTGCACCCAGGATCTGAAGTGGGGAGCCCTGGAACCGCCAAAGGAGAGTGGGAGAACTTACCACTATGCCATTGGGCCGGCCCCAGGCAGGAATTCTTACCTGTATTTTTTACTCCCATATCCCTAAGACTTAGAAAAATTCCTGGCTTATATTAGGTATTCAGTGATTACTTCTTAAATATGAATGGTTAACAGTTAAACATGTGGTCTTGATTATACTTACAGCAGCATGATTCCTATTGAATGAGTTGTAAATCTTGATATGAATCTGCTTCTTGGTCACTTGTATCTTCTTATCTCTTCTGTTCCCCCACTTTATCTTTCTAGTTCTTTCTTTTACTATTTCTTCAATGTCAACTATATTGACTTCTCCCATCTGTTTCTATTCTGTCTCTCAGACAAAATCAATAAAACACTGCAACATTTATGTAGCGATGCTGGATAAAGTCAGGGGTGATCAATCCAGTGAATAGTATTTGAGCACCTACATTGTGCAGGCCTCTGTGCTAGCTTTGGACTATTATACCTAGTTAATACTGTCTATTGAAATCTTAATTTAAAACCTTAATTTCAGATCTCTAAGATACTGGACATTACTCAAATAACATCCAGAGCTTATAAAGTAAAACTGCTAGTTCAAGCAATACGCAGAAGTGAATCTATTTTAAAAATAATACCCCCAGAAAATAGTGATGAAGCTTAATGCCTACATTTATCCGAATTAAAAGTACCTTTTAAGAGCATTTTTTCACACTTATCTATACTAAAAATTTGTCTAAAAGAAATCAACTTCAATCCCAGGTCAAATGAGGTTGGATACAACCAGGGTGGTTTGATGGTAAAGCAATTTGCAAGACCTAGAGTTAAAAATGATTGAAAGTATATTATTCATTTTTTTTTTTTTTGAAATTGTTCACTGCCTAGAGTCTAGTGTATTTTGTTTCAGGTCTAACTGGATTTTATAAACACCCAAAGATGGGAATTTGTGATGTCAACACTGACAGAACAATAGCTCTATTGGGCCTACCTATTCAATCTTCCAACTGAATTTCATGTTTTCCTTCTTATTTTGTTATACTTTTCAACACTATAACTTATAAAAAAAAAAAAAGCTCTCTTGCCTTCCTTTACTGGACCAAGAAATAATATTTTATGTCATATCTCCTTTCTCTAAAACACAAAACCAAGAGCCCTGTGCTCTTCCTCTTTTTCAGATTCTTGGATTCCTCACACAAGGTCTGTCTTCATCCGAGCACAGCCAACAGAAAGTGATCTGCATTGCTTATGCCAGTAATCATGCCCTAGGAGATCTGATATTGGCTGTGGCAGGTTTGATAGATTTACAGTTGCTTCGCTAAAAAGTGCATCTTACCTCATCAACAGAACTGCATGAAATACAAAAGAGAGTCTCAAGTATAGAGTATAGAGCAGCCGTAGGATGCAGATTGGACACAAACAAAATCATCTGGGCCAGTGATTAACTATGCTTGCCAACAACTTACCATCTATGTAGTAAGGCTGGGGAGTCACACACATAAAGCCAGTCAAGGATTCCCAAATTTCCTTTCCTGTCCCCGAAGTATTGCCCTTATGTACTGCCATTTTACCAACATTCTTCTTTCCTACTTAACTTGAAATTCCGACTATTTTGGGGGGTTGTACGACTACTTAGTTATTTCCTTAGGAGCACTATATCAAATGGTTGAAGGAGATGGAAGAAAATTCTCTTCATTTATTTGCATGATTTATATGAAAGTAGCTCTTATCACCTGGAGCCCATCAGAGGTTGAAGGAAGACTGAGGGAAGTGGAGTATTAATGGGTTAACTCAGGTGAACCTGAAATATCTGAAACTTCCAAAGACTTTTACTGGTACCTTTTTTTTCTTATTAGTCATTTGTTTTTGTTTTATATAGCCTGGTATGTTTGTAAGTGAATCCTGGACATAAGGTATGAAAAATTCTAGAGACATTTAGGCAGTTAGGGTAAGGGAAATTCACCTCAATCCAGTCTGAAGTTGAAACTGAGCTAGTATGAAGCTGTTTAGACTGTGTGTGGACCAGTCTATTTCTGGTTTGTCTTTACTATTAAAGAGTAACTCTTTAAGAGTTACAGTTGAAATCCTGGATTGTTAACTAGGTTTCTCTTCTGTAATGATCTCTGAATTCCATTTTTGTCTCCCAAGCTGTGGTCAGATTTCCAGCCTCTCCACCATCAGTTACAAATTGGCAAATGCCTTGAGGGGAAAAACAGCACTGAATGTTGCCCCCTCACTTTTCTTCCTTTCTCTTCAACAATCTGGCCCTCAAGTCTGTGCTGCTTGGGAATCTCTCTGAGGTCTTCAAACAGATAATGTGTGACGTGTGTGTATTTTAACCCAGGTTTCATTTTTCCAGTTTTTCTTAGAAAGATGATTGGTCTGCAACAAGCTAACCTGCCACAGCTGGAAGAAGTCTTGCGGGTATTGGGAATTAGCACCTTGTACCAAGGGAGAAGCCATGGAAAAGGAAAAACAGAATAAGCTTTCATATTTTTGTGGGGTTTTTCTCACCTGTTGTGGTTGCTTTTCTGCTCATTGACGTAACATCTTCTCAGACTCCTCCTCATGGTCTCACTACACTGTCTTCCCTCTGAGGGCCGATTCTTTAGAAATGTTGTGGCTGCTTTGACACCTCTTTGCGGGTGTGAATTATTGTCCTTTTTTCAAATATGTCATTCATTCCTGTTGTGTGACCTTTGGAGTTCTCATTGAAGAAAACTGTAAAAAAATAAGTCTTGTCCTCATAATTTTTAACAGCTAAGTATAAGTAATAGTTCTTCCACAAGCTTGGGGAAAAAATCATGGGATCAGAAGTGACTTAGAGAACATAGCCCAGTCTCTCCTGAAGATGTCAACTTGAGCAAGGTCCCACACTGGATAAAGGAACAGCAAGTGTCTTCTTCCTGTCCAGTGCTCTTTCAGCCATACTCTGTTGCTTGCAGTAGATCACTTAGTTACTTCATGGGAAGATTTCTGTTGACTGAGAACTCTCGGATTCTACAGCTATTATGCATCCCCTGGAGAAAAGACTTTTATGATTGTTACCTATCAGTCTCACTCCATCCCACACCCTAAACTTTCTTTTTGAGATATTGGTCTAGGGTGTCAAAAGATGACTGTGATTTTCAAACTTACACGTTACTGTGTATACAAGGGTGTTGTTTTAAGTTAGTTCTCCATGAAGCAGATATGTTCATGCAGGAAGTTGATTAGGAAAGTTTGTAGGGGACTTTAAGAAGAAGAATTAGGAAAAGGGAATGTTTAAATTGGATGAAGTCACAAAAAGTCTCTTCCAATCATGTGGGTTCTCTGGAGCAGGGATGGTGCCATCAGGGTTGTCCTGCTTTTATGCAAAGGGGTGGGATCTTTGTGCCCCTACCTGGAGAAGTCAACCAGTCATTCAATGCAGTCTGACCTCAGGGAAAGGATGTGGCCTTGAGCGGGGTTGATCTCTTTGGCTAAGGACTTTTTCTGGAGAGGGTCTCAACTGAGCACTATCAAACGATAAATCTCTCAACATTCATTCCTGGAAGCGGAACCTGGGCAGCACACTACAGCATCCACTATGGGTTCTTAATCAAACTGAAATCCATAACAAGTAAAAGGAAGTAATTAAAAATGAAATCTAAACAAACTAAAATCTATCTGTATTTGTCTCTCTGGTAGGTTGTCCTTAAAATAAATAGCAGATAACAACAGTCTAGAAATGAAACAACCTATTGTTTTTATTCATAAATGTTTTGCACTTGTTTTCAAAGACAAGGCGTTAAGGAGGCATGTGAATTTCACATTCATCTCTCTGGACGGAGGATATCAGAGTTCAGGTAATTGCTTTTTAAAGAGTACCTTCACTGCTTTCCTGTTCCTTGTGCAAGTTTTACTGAGAGGTTTAGTAGAATAATGATACTGAAGTCAAAGGAACTAAAGAGCAGACATCCTCCTCCAGCCATGCACTTCACCATGTTTAGAGCTGAATAAATGTTCATTTAATAAGAATAGTAACTGCATAGTCAAAAAGGAGTATGTATAGTTGACTTTAGCAATGACTCCATAAGTCCATTGATAGGTTTAATGAAAGGAATTAATGTTCTTCAGTAAAAAAGCTATCATATTAAAACCGTTATTGAATTAAAGTGCCTGAATCCTGCACATGATCTCTAAAATGGTGAAATTTCAAATTTTTGAAGACATAATTTAAATGATCAATGAGGTAAAATTTTTATAATGATTTATTTACACACATTTTCAACTTTCTCAGTTCCAGACAAATTGAAAATGAAAGCAAGTTTTTATTGCTATCTTGAAATTGTAAAGCATATCTCCTATTAGTCATTTATTACCTTTGGTTGGGTATAGGTGTGTGTCATTATTCTTAGAAGTCAAGTCGAACAGGCTATGTATTTGAGGTCATCATGTTCTTAGAGAGAGTGGAGAAAAAACATTTCTATGTGAGAACATCAAATAAGAAATTAAGGATCAATTTGCAGGATGGAAAACTCTCTTATTAATCCCTAACTCCTTTAACCTGCCTGAGAATCCTGATTTTTCACACCCAGTCTAACGCAGAAACAGAAGTCATGATTAGAGGACCATAAGGCGATCTGATTTTCTTGTGTTCTCAAAGTCTAAGTTGTGAACAAAGCTACATAAAATTAACAGATTTATATGTAAAGGGCAATCCAAAGAATATCTCAAAGCCATACCTGATTTTAGATATCTTTTCCCCAAAAAAGCTCCCAAAGTTTTGTTATTTTAATCTGTCCAGAAATCCCCTCTATTAGAGGAACTAATGGAAATGCTGTCACCATTAAACATGATACCTGGAAGGAAGCCCAGGCGTTGGGGTAATTTTTGTGCACTTAGTATCCTGCACGTATTTGATGCTTAGATTTTTTTTTTGTAGTTGTTAAGTTGACACAGAGCAATTTGGCAAGTTATCTACAGAGAGCTCTGAGGAGTAGATAGAGCAAAGTGGGTACTTTTCAGTTAGGAAGGAAGAACTATGAAAAGACTATGGAGAGGGGCTGTGGGCGTTTGATGTAGGAAGCCTGAGTCTACATGGCTGGGAGATGTAAACAACATAAAGACGTTCTCCATGGACTTCATAGTTTCCCCTGATGCACACTCTGTTAGCTGGCCTCCTACTTTCTAATGTTCTCTCAAGTAAATCTTTCTCTGATTTCCATTGTGGGTTCCTTGCACCTTTTTCATACTTTTGTATTTGAGAATGTTAATATGCTTCCAGTTCCTTTCTCTTCTTAGCTCTGAAGACATTCATTTACTGTTCCCAAGCACAACCAAGGACCACACAAAGTAAAGTTAAAATGTTGCCACTTCCAAGCAAAGTATTAGTTGATTATGTTTTACTATCAAAGAAATAAGAAAGAAGATCAAGAGCGAAGGAGCAGCTGAGTGTCCTCTATTTCCAAGCTGAGTATGCATTCTCTCCTCATTCAATTTTAACATAGATCACTGGGGACAAACTGATATGATGGTACCTTATAACTATTGTCATTTTTGTAGTATAACATTCTGTTGAATATTTCTCTGATGATTCTAATAATTGCTCTTCTCCTATTAAGATCTTCGGGTTCTAAATATTTAATAACCCAAGTATCAAAGCTTTTATGATTTTTGGTGAGGAAGTGGGAAAACAGTTTGCAATTAACCAGTTTAAAAGCTCAAAGACAGAATTTAAAGTAATAATGGCCTTCATAAGAGTATTTTTGCAATGAAATCCATGAGACATATCTCAGTCTAAATATAGATGAATTTCTTCTGTGGTTGTAGTCTTCTTTTATGTGAGGGTCGTTAGTTTGTTAGCTGGTTAAACTGAAGCTAATCTGAGCATTGATTCTGACTTGATAATTTTTATTTAAAATATTTTATGTGTATCATGTATAGTGATGGAAATAAAATTATGGAAAAAAATCTGTCCATGTGTGTGTATGTTTGTGTGCGTGTGTATAAATAGCTGTATGTATGAGCAGTACCTATTAGTGTAAATATTGTAAAATAAGAATATTTAACGGGTGTACCTCTAGAATCGGAATACTTATCTGTAGATAGCTTATAAACATGAATTTCTAACATAGTTTTTCAGGGTGCGTTACTGTTTAAATCCTAGAAATAGGAATGCATGTGCTTATATAGTATTGCTTCATTTTAGGCTCCAGGTAATTGTGTAGAAAAGGCTACTATCGAAAGTTCTAAGAGCTAAACTTCAGAGGTGCACCAGAACTGTGAAAGTTCCGAGATTTTAACGTGAGCAGTTTCCTTGCTCTTTTGCCTGGATGGTAAATCATTCACTCAAGCAAGCAAAATTTTTCTTTTAAAAATGCTTCTTTTGAGAAAAAAAGAAGGCCTCAAAATAGAGTTAAAATAGGAGCACTGTGTACTTGTTCCAAATACCAACCTACCAAAATAGAAAAGTGGTTGGCTTTTTATCTTAAAACCCAGTGGGAAAATGGGGGAAATGAGTTTTAAGTAAGAAAGATGTATCTAAAAATCCTTTCTACTAAATAGAAGGAAAACTACAAATTCTTGGATGGAGAGAGTTTAAACTTTGGTATTAGTGGAAGTATATAAGTATATCTGTGCCCAAAGGATTTAGAGGGCAAAATAACACTTCCTTTGGATCTGAATATCTATACCTATCCACTCTCCACCTCTAACATCCAGAAACAGGGCAGTCCTGTTGGGATCTAACAGTCCTGAGTCCAGGTTACAAGGGTTCCACTCATACCCGTGTGTATTTCTTACACAGAATGGAAATGTTCCTTTCTTCTTTCTTCTTTCCTTTCTTACACAGAGAGGAAAATGATTTTCAGAACCAAAATCATAAACAGAAAGAAGTGTTACATAAAAGGCTAGGCAAACCTACACCATAGCTAGATGTTTCTCTTTGTGTCTCAAAAGGAAAAGTTAGTATCTATTTTTCTTCTCACCCTATTAATTCATAGACTTACCATAACTCTGAGTTGCTTGTTGCATATGTTTACCCCCACACATACATATATCCATATATCATGATATTTCCTTGGCTTGTAGATGCATCACTCCAATCTCTGCCTCCATCTTCCTGTGTCCTATGATGTTGCAAGGTGATGGGAGAGGCTGGCCTTGGACTGGATTCTGTCTCCAGCAGATGTCCTGGCTGTGGTGGCACCATTAGAGCTCATTAGATCAACAGTGATCACCATGAGGACCACTTCCTAAGAGCGGCCTCCCTTCAGGGTCCATGGCAGAGTTGGTCACCACGCCTCACTGTAGGCCATCGGTAGCATCATTATGTTCAGTGTTCATTATCCAAACCTCCAAACTCTTCAAGCAGGAAGAGCTGCCTAATCCACAGATTCAACCAGAACACCTCTGACATTTTAGTGCCACCCAAAGAGATAAAAAGCTGTCATTGTTAGGACTGAAGTTTTAAACCTTGAAATGTAATGGAAACTTTATTGCCAGTATAACATGATTCTCAGGATTTAAACATCTACCTATGGAACACACCCTCATTTTATTCAACATTTTAATCTCTAATAAAATGAGGACTAATCCAATAATAGATAGTGTAATTTGTGTGACTACCTAAGTTATTGATAAGAAGAAAAGAGAAAAATAGCCTCCAGGGGTCCAGACTGAAGCGTCCTCAAAACTGAAAAGGAAACAAAGAGAAAAAAAATACAATAGGAAAATTCATTATCTTAGCTATTACAGCAAAATTATACTGGTTTGTGACTTATCAATCACAGATGAAAGATGTAAACAACATCAGAAATAATCTTTTCAGCAGAGACATCAGTCATAAATGAGATTTCATCATTTATATGCTTGTCCAAAGTGGTAATTTAGAACTATTGCTACCAACTCTGGCTGTATCCAGAATGATAATTATGAATTAAGTGGTGAGCAGATGCAAAGAAATAAAAATTTGCCCTGGGCTGCCAGAAGCCTAAAGACAAAGCTAACTGTCCCTATAAACCATTAGTTTAAGAACGGAATTGTCAATATAGCAACAGTCTACCAATTTGCTAGGCATCAATGGACATTAGCCATGACATACAAATGTGGATGATTTTAAGAAAAGAAACTGTTTCTGACACATAATCCTTTTTGCTTATCTTCCTATGGATCTGTGCCTACTCTGAATATCTTAAAGCAGCAACTCAAAATTAATTCACAAGAAAAAGAGAAACAGTCTAGTAAAAATCGTATTTATAAGCTCACACCAAGAAATATGTGCTTAGAATGGGATTTATTCTTTCTTATTGCTATTGGAATGGACACTTCATTTTCTCCCTAAAATGAAATGAAACTTTTAGAAAATTTATGGCTGCTGAGAGAGCAGTTTCTCACATGCCAAGCTATGTTAGCAAAATTGGGGATAAATCATCAAAGAAATCTGACTAGTACCACACTGCAGTTCATGCAAAATAGTATTTAACTTTCTACCCATAGGAAGCAACCTCAGGACAACCGTCGTTAGTGAGTTCACTTCATTCTGTAAAATAACATCCTGGAATCACAGACAAACAGCATTCTTCCTCTTTCCTTGGTGCCATGATTAGTCTTTTTGTACCTTCCTTTCTTCATTTCCTCTCTCTGTTTCTACTTCTCTGAAAATGTCTTCCTTACTCTGACACTGTGAAGTTTGCTCAACTACCCCCAGCGCCCCAGTTTTCTCCCCTCCTCATTTGCCTCTGTCATTGCTATGAATGCCACTTCCTTGGAAGCCCCTCTAGGTGACAATGACAAGAATCACAGACCTGTCCTCCATCTTTCTAGACTGTGTATTATTAAATGGCGTTATTCATTTAGAATGAGAACAGTGACTGATATTCTTTCTACAAATAGGCTTAGATTTCTACCCTTTTTGCTTGAATGCATATTGAGCATTTTTATCCAGACAAATTGAAAAATATTTGACTAATAATTACATAATTTGAAAATTTTGAGAGGAAGGATTGTCCTTGTCATTTTGCAGCTTCTAATCAATATTTCACCACTGATTGGGAGAAGTTATTTCTAACCAAAAAATTATGAGTCCCCTTTATATTATGAAAAAAACTGAGTCAATTAGAGTAACACTCCATTATGATGTAAGAAAAAAGGTCACAATAAATATTATTTTTCGAATGCTTACTATGTGTCAGAGACTTTGCATTTCTTATTTTACACATGCATGGCTCTGTGACAGTTATTGCTCTCTCTGTTATAGTGATGAGCACATTCAGTCTCCAATAAGTTATGTTATTTCTCCAAGTTCTACTCAGCTTCTCATAGCCTCAAACATCAAATCCATTTTATTCGCTCCCCGTGACTTGATATATCAGACTAATTTGAGGAACATGATTTTATTTTGAAAGAACATATCCATTACACAGGGAAATGTTTTATAACAGACTTTTACTATATCTTTATTTCATTCCTGTAATTCTTACTGGTAAATGGCTCTGGGTTTGCTATTTCTGAATCACAAGACTGAAATATACACCTTTTTTCCCTTTATGCTGTTTAAACTTCTCTCTCTTTGCAAAGTTTACACATTTCAGGGAAGGCCAGACGGTCATCTAAGTAGCAGATTCTGCCAAAAATTCTTTGCTAACTCATGTTCTGTTCAGTCCAAGGGGCAGGCAGATAGCGAGACTTTCCCTTAGCCATCAGGATGGTGATTCTGATGGCGAGGGAAAAGCCTAGCTAAGTGCCTAACTGCTTGCCCTTTGGAAGGAAAATGACACAGGTTTTTACTCCAGGAATTCGGCTTGTCACGGGACAGTCATGTGGAAATGAAATCAAGTTAATTATCTCTTTCTAGGAAAATATGCTTCCGGACATACTAATTAAACATTGACTTAAAGAAATCAATTTTCTGAACTGCTGACCTCAGAGAATTATGGCAGAGGGAGGGAAGTGTAGAGCCAATATTCAGAGATGAAGTTGTGTAAACAGAAACAGGGCCTGTGACCCATAGGGTGTGTGGATCACTTGAAGGAAGGTTCTGTGATTGGTTTGATTCTTCATATGCCTTGTCTACAAGGCACAGAGAGCTGATGATGATTCAGAGGATTAAGGTCAATCAAGAGAGACATGAAAGTGTTGTCTTCCTCAGTAGAACCATGAACCCTTTAACACCAGACCTTCTCTTACTAATTTTAGCATTGCCAGAGTCCAGCACAGAACTTACGGAGTTGATCAATTTATGTTTGTTGAACTGAAACAACGTGAGAGTCACATGAGAGAACCACAGTAAATGCTTCTTCAAACATGACATTCTGTATATATAGAGAGAATTATAATATAGAATACATAATTCTTATTATAACTTTATATGTACTTAGTTATTTAATTTTTACAGCAAAATATACACCATTTTTATCCATCATTTTATAGATGGGAAAACTGAGGCATGGAGAGTTTAATTAATTTTCCAAAAGTCACATAGCTAGTAATGGGCTCAGGTGGGATTTGAACCCAGGATTCTCTTGCCTTCGGGTTCGTGTTCATAACTATTGGACTAAACTTACCCCTCATAAATTCCCATAAGAGAATGTTTTCCTGGGGCACTGTGTACTTGGTCATGTATGCAGTTGTCATTTTCCTAATAATGCTGTGAACTTTTGAACTCTTTCTGGAAGGATCTGAGGACTACTCACCTTTGAATCCCATCCAGCAAAGCCTTGAAGACACTGGTCTGTTTACAGTTGAATAAATACATCAAAACAAAATCCTCACCTTAGGAGAAAGGCTAGCCACAGTGGAAATCTTCAGAGGTAGCACAGAGGTATGGGTAAGGATTATGTCTGACTTCTGGATTCTGAGAGGCAAAGGCATTCATTCACTCAAATATTTCATTATGAAGTCCCCCAAAAAACAGGGACTATACCCAAACTGGACCTATACTAAAGCAAGGAACCTGAGCTCTTTGGGAAAAGCCTGAAGCAAACCAAAGGCAAGCATATTTTTCTAGGGTCAGGCTTAATGTGGCAACACTACAAATAGTATGGTGGAGAAGAGGACAGCAGTAGCCAGCTCAGAAATTCCTGCAAAGTAGTAACATATGGGGGAATCTTTTCCTATTTGAGCCTTTCATCTTGTTAGCAAGTTGATTATTATTTTATCAGATAAGTCAGCTGGCACCTGTGGAATGACATAAGGAGTGGGAAGGCTTTAGTGGTGAGCAGAGGAGAGAATGTAAATGGCGTTCAGGGACCAGTGAGCCGGATGGTGTGAGTGAGGTGGCCTGCGGGGCTGAGCAGGCCTCTGGTGATGGGGAACCTGAAGAGGCACCTAGTAACCGTTTGTACTTATAAGTGTGAGTTCTGAAGATGTTTTTGGTAATGTACATAGTAGATAAAATACTTTACTACATATAAGAAGACCTGATCTTTCTAGAAATTGTGTAACATTGGCTATGCTTCTTTGGATCTTGGTTTTCTCATCTGTAAAACAGGAGGAGATTGGACTAGATTGATTCCAATGGTTCCTTCCAGCCTGAACATGCTGGAGAATCTACTGAAAGATCATTAGGGCCAAAGTCAGCTTGAATCACTCAGCAGTCCAAAAAAAAAAAAAAATGGCTTTGCCAACAGCTTGCAATTTTGAGAAGGCAGAAGGCCTAACCCAGTGCCCCCAACCCCATGCCCCCACCCCATCCAGTACTCCCTCTGCCCTTCAATAACTGTGAAGCTGCCTATTTTAACATCTTCAAAATCTACCCAGAATTTAGGTATCGTAAGTATTCAAAAACATGAAATTAAATTCAAAATCACTGAAAATCTTCTCAAAGGAGGAATTAAGACAGGATATGAATGGTTACACTCACTTTGGAAATCCCTTCAACTATTAAAAACGAAACATTGCAAAATCAAAAAATAGCTCTCAGGGCAGGCCCTGTGGTCTAGTAGTTAAGTTCGGCACATTTTGCTTTGGTGGCCCAGGTTCGATTTCCAGGCACAGACCTACACCTTTCATAGGCGGCCATGCTGTGGCAGCAACCCACATAAAAAACAGAGGAAGATTGGCAACAGATGTTAGCTCAGGGCCAATCTTCCTCAGCAAAACAATAAATAAGTAAATAACTCTCAATTGTACACATTCTGTCATGCTGAGGCTTAGCACTGTGTCAGAAATGCAAATAAATGCAGTGAAAAATAATCGTATGAGTTCTCTAAGGGTCCAGAGTTTTCTAAATTCAAGTCCATTTTCTCTTCCAAGAGAGTGGTAAATCTGAGATGAAAACAAGTGACTTGCACAGAAGGACTCTAGAAGCATAGTCTATTTATTTACAAATATGTACTGTTCCTACACCATATGGTTTGAACAAAGACATCAGAAAGTGAAAACAACAGCAGGTCTAGGGCAGAGCTGCATAGAGATGGCTCAGTTTCCAGGTCTGGGCTGTTCTCAGAGAAACATCCACTCACAGTCTGTTCAAGCCCAGGCACTTCTGCTTTAAAAATCTATCTACGGAAAGCCACTTTCCCTTTTGCCCGATGGATCAATTAAATTAAACGTTAAAAACATGACCCGTCCCTGTTCCAGTGGTCCTCCCTTCAAGAATGTTACTTTGTCTGGCTATTCCAATACTGTTTAGAACAATAGATGGCAGGGCCCACCACATATGAATGATAGGCATGCGCAGTTGGTCTTCAGGTG